GTGTGTGTGTGGGGGGGAGAAGCTGCAAAGTAACATTTTGGTGACAATCGTTCCTACAGATTCAGGGTTTTGGCTTCTCCAAGAGCAGTTTTGCACGCACTTACCTTTATAGGATACACAACAGCTTCCTTGACTAACCGCTTCGCTGCATCGAGTCCAATAATGTCATCCCATTTTACGTTCGGATTGTGGAGATATATATCCTGAAAGACACGGGCAGCTCTTCTTAAAAACAGGGCTACTTTTCCCCTTGTGCAATCATAATGAACAACCATGCTGTGAAGTACACTCAGCTGGGCTGGGATCTCTTCAAATAAACAGCAACCCAGAAAGGGACAGGGAGTTTTGGAGATGGAGTATAGTGGATATAGTGATGCGTTACGACTCAGGAGGCCCGGGTTTGAATCCCCACTCAGCCATGGAAGCCCACTGGGGGAGTGGAACTGGTAAAACCACTCCTTAAATATCTCATTTATCTTGAGAACCCGATGAGGGTCACTATGACTTGATGACACGCAACGTAACAAATAAATGATCTGCATCACTTCTAGTTGTTAATGCTATAAAGCAGAGGTCCCCAACTTTGGGCCTCCAGATGTTCTTGGACTTCAATTCCCAGAAATCCTGGCCAGCAGAAGTGGTGGTGAAGGCTTCTGGGAGTTGTAGTTCAATAACATCTGGAGGCCCAAGGTTGAGGACCACTGCTATAAAGGACAAAAGATCCTAAACATTCTCACCTATGGAGCAAATCCCATGAAAAAAAAGATGGGGAATCTGGCTGAGCCGCTAGGGGAGGAGGGGAGAGTTTTCAGGCACATGAGCAGGGCAAAACACAGCCCAAAAGAAGACCTCCAAATAAATTCACTGGAATGCTTTATCACCCATCACCCCACCCTTCCACAGCTCTCTGCACCACATTTTGGACTTCTATATATTTATAACAGAGAGCACCTCATGTGACTTGGTTTCTTTCTTCTGGAAAGAAATGCGCTAGACCAGTCATTCTCAATTTTTTTTTCTTTTTTGGCCACTGTAAGCACAATATGAAAGACATACAGTGTAGGCCGTATCAGGATTGCAGAAGCTACATAACGTATCTTATAAAGTGATGCGTGAGGTATGGTTTGCAATCCATGCCAGGGGCCCACAGGGGTCCTCGTGGCCCCTGTTGAGAATGGCTACTCCAGACTTTCTCTATCGTGTAATTCCCTCTGAGTGCTATTGCAGCCCCACGTCAGAGTAGTGACCCGGAGACGCATGGACAGAGATGTTCAAGCCTGGGTCTCCTGCTTTTATCATTGACTGCTTCCTGTGCGTGTGCACACATGCCCACACGCAGACACAGAATGCAACCTAGGAAGGATGTCGTGGGCCCCAATGAAATGGATGGAGATGGCACAACGGTGAGAATTCACCGCCATGGAACTCCTGCTGAAAACCCTCCTGCCGGGCTCTGCCCCAAAGCGGCCATACCCACCGACGGTCCTCTCCTTGTCCACCTCTAGCTTTTGGTATTGAGGCCTGGAAAAGAGGAGGACTAATTCCTCTAGTGACTAGACTAAGCATTCAGAACACGCTTGTGGGCAGGAAAGGGAGTGCTGCCCCCCCTACCTGGCTCACAACGGTTGCAAGTTCTCTCATTTCACTGGTCATCCCAACAAAGGCACCCAGAGGTTTCAGCAATCGTTCCTGTTAAAGGAAAGAACAAATAAGGCTCTACACAGCAGGTGGAAATACTGCTCAAATTATCTGCAGCTATCATCATTGCATGTGACTTTAAAGACAATGTCTAAACGGCGTTTCTGCAAGGAGGTCTCTGCAATCCCAACCTCATGCCCTAGATGGGACGAGATCCTTTGGTTCACTCACATTCCCTCTTTCATTGACAAAACATATAAAGAAGCGGCTGCATCTGTTATCCAGAGAAGCAGGTATCTCTGGGCACGTTATTCCACATTGATTAAATATCTATGGTAACTACCTTTCATATTAAAAGTCTTACTTATCTAAATAAGATCAATGTTTATATAATAAATGTTAACAGGTGTAATACTCTGGAATATACAATTTGTTACTGGTAACTCATGGCGTTTCTGAATATAAATTGAAGCCATACATGCATATATATTCCTAGATAGCCTATTAATACCTTTGACTTTTGATATACTGATATTCCACTCAACACAGCCCTAGATATAATGTCCACCACACTGTACCTTAGTCCAGAGGTGGGGGAATTAAATGCAACTAGTCTGTATGAAAGGGACATGGTGGCGCTGCGGGTTAAACCACAGAAGCCTCTGTGCTGCAAGGTCAGAAGACCAGCCGTCGTAAGATCGAATCCATGTGACGGAGTCAGCTCCCGTCGCTTGTCCCAGCTCTTGCCAACCTAGCCGTTCGAAAGCATGTAAAATTGCAAGTAGATAAATAGGTACCACCACGGTAGGAAGGTCACGGCATTCCATGTCTAGTCGCGCTGGCCATGTGACCACGGAAATTGCCTTCGGACAAACACTGGCTCTACGGTTTGGAAATGGGGATGAGCACCATGCCCTTGAGTCAGACACGACTGGACTAAATGTCAAAGGGAGCCTTTACCTGTCTGTATGGAGACACAGGTGGGCTGTGTTCTGATTACATACTGATTTCTTTGTACTGGCTTGTGTGCATATATTTCATTGATTTATTGCATATGCCTTTCAGAGTCCATTTCAGAATTATAATGAAGTACACTTAAGCCGCTTTAATTGGAGACTCTGTTTTGTGGGTCAATCAAGCATCACTGCTGCACAGCCCATGGTATGGAAAAGAATGTTCAGTATTACAAAGTGCACGCAAAAGTCTGGATTTTTTTCCCCTACAAACTTTATTCTAAATAATGTATCAGAGAACTTGTCCGAATAACCACAAGAGATTTTCCTGAGCCCTGGATACTGTATCCTGTTCCTGTTGTTTAGTAGTTAAGTCGTGTCCGACTCTTCGTGACCCCATGGACCAGAGCACGCCAGGCCCTCCTGTCTTCCACGGCCTCCCGGAGTTGGGTCAAAGTCATGTTGGTTGCTTTGATGACATGGTCCATCCATCTCACCCTCTTTTGTCCTCTTCTCTTATTGCCTTCACGCTTTCCCAACACCAGGGTCTTTTCCAGGGAGTCTTCTCTTCTCATGAGATGGCCAAAGGATTGGAGCCTCAGCATCTGTCCTTCCAGTGAGCACTCAGGGTTGATTTCCTTTTCCTGCACCCACCCCATGCCGTGCCCCCAGTGCTTCTGGTACTTTACAAGCCTTTATTTTGTCATTTACTAATTTTGGGAAATCGTAGAAAGCCCATTTATTTTCTTAAGTTTCAGACAAATACGAAAATAGTTTACATCACTAAAAAATCTGAGATTTTTGGGAATAGTAAGGGGATTCTTAAGGCAGAAATTTCAATGTCACATGTGTCACTTTCATTTCCACTCAGGTTTTTCCCCCCATCGTTGAATCTGTCACAGATTTATCTTGCTCATTGGAAAGAACATCACCTACCGAAGGATCTGGATTGCAGTTGAGGCTATGCATGGCTATTTCATTGGATGCTCCTTTGATCGCATCTTGGATCATCCCGCGGAAGTCAATAATTTGGCCCTGCCAGAAAAACGAACAGTGTTTATGAGACTCAAGTCTGCATTGTAGAATGAATTTGAAAACTGAGGGGGAAGGCAAGGGTGGTAGACATTAATAAAACAGATCAGCGGGAAAGGCTCTGAAATGGCTATAAGAGGTAAGATCTATCTGCTGATCTGTACTGTGAAGGACATAGTTACTCCTTGCGGATTGGGCCATGGATACCTGAAGGACTGCCTCCTTCCATATGAGCCTACCCGGCAGTTAAGATCTAGCCAGGGGACCCATTTGAAAGAGCCGCCCCTCAAGGGGGTAAGAGAGATGGCTTGTAGACAAAGGGCAATTTCGGCAGCTGCCCCCAAACTATGGAATGCCCTCGCGAATGAGATTCGTTCTGGCGCCAACGCTGATGACATTTTGGCACCAGGTCAAAACCTTCCTGTTCCAGAAGGCTTTTAATTGAAATAATATCAACTGTGGGTCCTGATGACAATTTTAGAGTATCTATTTTAATTGCTGTAAGCTGCTCAGAGACCTTTGGGTAGAGTGAGTGGCATATAAGTTAAATAAATAAATAAATAAAATGTGTGACTGGATAACATGGATGCAATGTTCCAATATTTTGGGCATCAATTTTTATTATGACATGACATGACATGACATGACATGACATAATCTCTGCCTCTAGGTTTAAAGGCTCTCCTCCCTCAGTGGATCCCAGTGGATTTATCCAGCACCATTGTGAGCAGCAGGGCCTAGCTGCCCTTTTGGTCTCTTACAGTTTTTATATCAAAGGCTGTACAGGACATAGAAAGGTAGACTCGGAAAGGGGCAAGAACAGAATGCTGAAAAGCCAGTAGCAGCTGCCCAAGAATGCTGAGTACCAAAGCTAACCCAAACTTTCACTTTTGAGACAGGTCTTGGGGTGCTGCTCCTACAAATCAACGTCTTAAATATCCCGCAAAACCCTTCCAATAGTCTTCACCCACAGACATCCAAAAAATCTTGTAGATCTTGACAAACCCTTCGAGGATGACCACCTTCTCCACCGCCTCCTTTGTGGACTGCAGATACGTTTAAACCAAATTCAGACGGCATGCGGCTAAGAGCACTTTCACCCTCCTGCTGGAAAGAAAAACAGCAACCAGTTTTGGAATTAATTGTGTTATGGTTTCCAGCAGGAAACAACAAACTGGCAGAGCTATTTTAAGCGACAGAGAGAGGTCCTATCGAAACCTAACAAGAATATGTTAAGCAAATATGGAAAACACATTAATAGCCCAAAGAATGGAAATGTTCAATATACATTTCAATCCCAAAGAGAGAAGCGGCCAAACCATGCAGTAACGCTTAGACCATTGCATTAATTCCCCATGAAAACAAGGCACTGCTGAATATTTTACAATGAAGATGCTTGTTTACCATATACAGAGCAACAAATGCCTGATATTCAAACTAGATTAAGAAAAGTAGTAGTTCCAGAGATCATACTGGAAATGAACGTTGGCTACTGGAAAAACACCAAAGAATCTCACAAGAAAATCAGTTTGGGCTTTAAAGATTACAGTAAAGCCTCCAATTGAACAGATTGTGAAAAACTATGGATTCCTCAAAAAGAAACTGGTCTACCACAACATTTAATTATTCCTACACTCTGGATGAGAAAGAAAACTCTTAGGACTGAAGTGAGAGAAAGCAACATTTAATTATTCTGGTATTTAACCTACACTCTGGATGAGAGAGAAAACTCTTAGGACTGAAGTGAGAGAAACAGAATGCTTTCGCATCAGCAGAGGTTTCAAAAGGGGACATTTCCGTCTTCCTATCAGTTCAATCAACATGCAAAACATTTAAGAAAAGCTGAATGAGGTGCAGAGGAAAGAGGACCAAACACTGTCAGAAGAAATGTCCGTAGTTTAAGAGATGCAGAATACGTCATATCGTTGTTATGTGTTGTTGAGTGCATCAGTGACTCCAAAAGGTCCAAGCATTAACAGCCCTGCTCAGATCTTGCAAATTAAAGGCCATGGCTTGCTGTCAGAAGAAATGTCCATAGTTTAAGATACGCAGAATACATCATATCATTGTTATGTGTCGTTGAGTGAATCAGTGACCTCCAAAAGGTCCAAGTGTTAACAGCCTTGCTCAGATCTTGGAAATTAAAGACCGCCGCTTTTATTTAAAGGCCACAGATGCCACTTTTTATTTCCACTTATCTCCACTGAGATTGCTTATCTCTGGGACGGAGTGTTGAGTCGAAGACTGGAGACACCCACCTACTTTGCCTTGAGGCTCACTGGGTCTGCCAGTCTCTCTCTCTCTCTCAGTCTAACTTCAGAGCATTACTGTGAGGACAGATATTAAGAGAAGCAGCCTGTATGTCAGGCTGGAGGTTCTTGGAGGAAAGAAAGGAGGCATAAGTATGTATCAGATAAACACTAGGCAGCTTCATAATATGCAGTGCCATCTTCCTATTGAGTCACTCAACGTTCAGTTTGAGAGAACAGTCTCTTCAACCCAGAGCCAAGCCAATGTCTACAATGTAAAATATTACTGATGCGAGGTCCCCCAAATCTACCACTTATCATATCCAATTGCTTCAAGTATAGTGTTCCAAGAGCCAGCATGGTGAAACAGATTAGGTCTCAGAAGACTCTGGTTCAAATCATCATTCAGCCATGGAAACTGGAGAGGGTGGCCATGGTAAACCCATTCCTTAAGCTCCTCACACCTCAAAAACCCTATTAGGGTCACCAGAGATAAGAAACACATTAACAGAAAGAACTGCATTCAAAACGTTAAGGGAAAAGTGAAAGAAAAGGAGGGGAATCTTAACCTCTTTAGGACTCTCCTTGCTGGAATTTTTGCAGTCAGATGTCCTAGTTGCCATTGCTTTTGACATCGGCCTCTGCGTTGTCTGACGCTGGTTGATCTTCGGGAGATTCTGAAACGTGCTGCTGGCTGCCCTAGGATACAGTAAGGCTTTTAGGAAGGATTAAAAGTATCCTCTGTCTTGAAATGCTGGTCATTTTGTCTCCTTCCCTGGCCAAGAAGCCAGCTGTAGCCAAAAAAAATAGTACTCTGCAGAACAGCTTTCATTACTTTTATGTGGGTCTCCATCGCCATTTGTCTCCTTTCAAGGAGAAAAACTGTCCTGGTGGTGGCTGGAAGTGACAAGGTTCCATGGGAGCTGCAAGAGCTTATTGGACGGGTACTTCCCATGGTGCACCAGGTTCTACAGAGGATACCTCTTGAAGAACCACCCATGCATGAGCCCTTGCAGCTCCTATGGAGCCCTGCCAACCCCAGTCCCCACTGGGAAGCCTGCTTTTTCTTGAGAAAAATGATGGCGGAAGCCCATGTGTAGGCACTGAAAACTGCTCTGTGGACTTTTATTCTTTCGGCTGCAGCTCCCAAAATTCTGCCTGGATAAATTCTGTGTGAATTTTGGAAGATGCAAACAAATCTGAAAATTTCATCCCTGTAAGAGATCACTGTAAATCTGAACAAATAATTTATTCCTTTTTTGCCAGTAATTGAGTTCTTAGATCCAGCAGAACAGGGATGATCTACCTGGTCCTCAACAGAATGGCAGTAACAATTACATGCAACATGTGGTCTCCATGGTGCAGCTTCCAGGTCCCATGGAACACATGTGACTCTCCTAAGATGCCTTGGTAGACCACTGGTGCAGAACGCTTTGCAAATGGCTGTTTCAAGGATGCTGAGCAGTTTCGCTATATGGCAACTCCAGATGTAGTCACAAAGAATATGAGCACCAAGCAAGGTAAAATCTATCACATTACGGGGTCAACTTAACCTTTGAGGTTGCACAGAATGCTCATACAGTACAGAAGCTCATATGGGAAGCAAAGAAGTTATCCTGTCAGATATTAATACCATATATTTCTAACTGAGAAGCCGTAATAGTCTCTTGCAGCAAAAACGCAAGAGTCTTAAAGACCCATCTCTCAGAACTCCCCAGTTCCAGTACAGAACATCCATGCTTTACTCACCTGGACCAAAGTCTACCTGAGGCCTTGTTTCCTGTCTCAGGCCTTGCTCCCTCCTCAAAAAGAAATTGTTCTGGCGTTTCCCGGGAGTGCCAAGTGTTTGTGGGAGGTGTCGTTCTTTGGGAGCAGATTCTATAGAGCCTAATGGGCAGCAAGGCTACAATGACCCAGGCCTCCAAGGAAACACTGGGTCAGGTTTCTCTTTGAACAGGAAGCGAGGTCTCAGGTAGGTGTTGGTGTGTCTGTGAGCAGGAATTCCAAGTGCTGCGTCTCAAGAATTCTTGGAGAACTCTGGGAGCCTCCCCAAAAAAACACTCAACAAATAAATGGCACACCCCAGTGATTCACATAATCAGATTTGATGATGCAACCCAAAGCCCACAAAGGCTTCTGTTAGTCTTTGAAGTTCCACAAGACTATTTGCTGTTTATACAGGAAACTATAGAATGTATGAAGATATCTGTTAATATTTTTACCATTGGCACCAACAATACAGGATGCCAACTTACCTACTGTATTTTTTCTAATGTTCCAAATAAGATCTATCGGCCTAGAATCTCCTCTCATGAATTTCTCTCCACCCCAACCTCACATTGTCTTCAGTAACATATAAAGGCGACTGCAGTGCTCGTGCAGCAAAGGAATGGAGAATTTATAAATTAAAAATGTTGCGTACTACGGATACAAAAAACATTTTAACAAACATCTTCAAGGCATTCATTTCTCTTACCTTTTTTGTTTTCCTCCACTTCTTGGTTTATTATCTGCTACAAGAGGAGAAAGATGTGAGATAATTTGTTTTTCTTTTTAAAATGCATCAAACATGACCAACCTAACATGGGGCTGAATGTACTTAATTTGTTGGATCAATTATCCAATTACTTATTCTGAGGCAAAGAGTAAGGTGGTTTTGGGCAGCCATTCTCAAGAAGGGGGCCTATGGCCGCTGGCACATTTGAAGGGGGCCATAGACAGGAAACAATTCTTCACACACCACCTTATAAGGCTTGTTATACAACTTACACAATCCTGTTTCAGCCTATATTTCTTTCATATTGTGTTTATGGCCATGGCCAAAAAAAGATGGAGAATGGCTGATTTAAGGCAAGTAAATACCAAAGCAGCTCAGACTCGGAAACAAGATGGGGCACAATCCACTGGATCTCTCTCCTGCTCAAAACCCACAAAACCAGAGGGAAATGCAAAGGCCCTGACAATACATTTGCAAATTCTCCCTTCATTTCCTTGACGTTTGCACAGACCACCCCGAAACCGAATGGCGCACGTTCATTCTATCCCCAGATCCATTACTAATGCCTGAATGTCTCCCAAACCTTTTCCTGAAAATGAATCCTGATGACTAAACTCTACTTAGGCATTCACTTAAAGATAACTAGGTACACCAAACTGGGCAGAAAGTTATGCACACAAATACATGACCAGCTGAAATTAAAGCAACGTGGATAAGACAACATCAGCATTCAGTCATTCTTAACCTAGAAAGTGATGTATAGCTGGACCAGCAACTGCATCAATACAGTAGGACCCACTTATCCGCAGAATCAGTATCTGCTCATTGACACCCACAGTCTGAGAATATTAAAATTATTAAGAGAGAGCCTATAAATATATATTTCTAATGATGGAGTTACGAGTACTGGTCCCTAAGGTAAAAGTTCCCCTTGACATTTAGTTCATTCATGTCTGACGCTAGGGCGCGGTGTTCATTCCCGTTTCCAGCTGTAGAGCCAGCGTTTTGTCCATAGTTTCCGTGTTCACGTGGCCAGCACGACTAGACACGGAACACCGTGAGCTTCCCACAGAGGGGGTACCTTTTTATTGACTCGCATTTACATGCTTTCGAACTGCTAGGTTGGCAGGAGCGGGGACAAGCGACGGGAGCTCACTCCGTCACATGGATTCGATCTTACGACGGCTGGTCTTCTGACCTTGAAGCACAGAGGCTTCTGCGGTTTAACCCGCAGTGCCACCACGTCCCTTTCATACAGACTCTAGTTGCATGTAATTCCCCCACCTCTGGACTAAGGTACAGTGTGGTGGACATTATATCTAGGGCTGTGTTGAGTGGAATATCAGTATATCAAAAGTCAAAGGTATTAATAGGCTATCTAGGAATACATGTGCATATACGGCTTCAATTTATATTCAGAAATGCCATGAGTTACCTATTTATCTACTCGCATTTTTACATGCTTTCAAACTGCTAGGTTGGCAGGAACTGGGACAAGCGACGAGCGCTCACTCCGTCACGTGGATTCAATCTTACGACGGCTGGTCTTCTGACCTTGCAGCACAGAGGCTTCTGCAGTTTAACCCGCAGCACCACCACATCTCTAGATGGAGCCAAATACCATGCAATGTATAGGATTCATGATTAAAATAGCCTTTGCTATATGTTTTCTAGCATTTGTGGCTGTGTGTGTTTTTGCTGGAACCCATCCTCCACAGATATGGGGGTCCTATTGTATTTCTACCATAGCATATTAGATAGTCTTCAATGCCACAAACCACCATTGTTAAGCACTATTAATACTATGAATACTATAAATAATAGAAACAGTAATGAGAAAGACATTCCTGGACCGAAACCCCTTACAGGTATCTGAGGCTTTTTTGGTAATTTTTGGATACTTCTGGAATTTGACATAGTAGTAACTTTCATATTCCATCAAGATAGTCTCAAGATCAATGTTGTCACAAACTTCAAAGCGCCGCAGGCCTAGTTTTGTTTCTTGCTCCAGTGCATTTGCAGCATCAACATACCTGAGAATTGCAAATCCAGAAGATTCTGTTTTAATACAAAAAGATGATCGCCGTAACAATGCTTTTTATAGAAAATATACAGTGGCTCTTGGTTTCATAAACTTATGACTGCTGAAACATCTCTGTGTGCTTTTCCTCTGTAGAAATGGTACAGACAGGGTCTTCCATCCCCCCTTTTTGTGGGCAAACTTTCTATTGTGGTAGTTATTCACTGATACTACAGTTCTGCTTCTCAATTCTATTATTTCCTGAAAACTGTACATCTCTACTTGCACTTTCAGCCCACTGTGGTTTTCTACCTCTCCCTTGGTAGCACTAGTTTTTGGTCGAATGCCCTACACAGTGCTTTTTGGAGGGGGGATTTTGAGCAGCACACCAACACCTTATGGCAGCGATAGCGAACCTATGGCACGTGTGCAACAGCTAGCACACAGAGCCCTCCCTGTGGGCACACGAGCCATAAGTCACCCTCAAGAAATACCCATCCTCCGATCCTGGATTTCGGCACTCCCCTCTGCTGGTGCAGTGGTCCAATGGAGGGGTGCAGTGGCAACCATGACTGGTCTAGCCCAATGGGGGATTGGAGGACCAGTAAGTATTTATTTGTTAATGCTGCCCATAGGAAAGAAACAACAAGCATTTAAGCTTTGCAGTGCAGGAGCAGTTGTCTTTTCCAAACTAAAACCTCAGTATATGGGTTTTAATTGCAGCACTGGCACTTTGAAATAAATAAGTTGGTTTTGTGTTGCTGTTTGGGCGCTCGGGCTCAAAAAGGTTCATCATCACTGCCTTATGGGGACAGTTTTATGCGCAACTCCTTGTAGTCCACATGGATTTGCTTCTTTCAATGGCAACAGCAAATTCCCCTCCCTTATGAATGTGTGCGGCTCTCCCAGAGATCCAGCAAGAACGGCTTGGGAGAAGCTAGTCCGATTAATATAGGGAGCCCGGTGTCTTATGCTGCTGTCAGCTGTAAGGACAAGAAGGTTAGAAAAAGGTGCCGGCATTTTAAGTGAGGCTGAGGGACATCTGTGGTCTAAATTTCCTTCCTCTTTAGAGTACAGCTTCAATCATAAGGTGTGTGTTTTTTATTTTTATTTATTTATTTTTTTGTTTGTTTATTTGCTGTAAAGCGATTTTTGAAGAACTACAGTTTTATATAAAAGGGGGAACTGAACACCAACAACGTCATTCAGGACTAGGAGTGCTACATCACCACTGAAGCAATCATTTCTCTTATCATTAGAGAACGGCTGATCCTCACAGAAAGTGACGCCCACAAAAGTGACTACTATAGCCTCCACCACCTTTAAATTGGCCCCAGCTCCTTTGGTTGCCCTTCAGCAACAACCCTAGCCTCCATAGCCACCACTGTGGTCCTCTCTGTTACTTTTTCAAAAAGCCTTGGGGGAGTGGAGGAATATAGATTTTACTTGTGAAGAAGCTGAGCAACTGCAGAATATAGCATCTGTGGATGCTTTCCTGTTTTAGGTGTGTCCAATCATCAGATTCCAAAATACCTCCTGTATGGAGAATGAGTGCAGGGAAAGCGCCCCAGAGGGAGACCCCAGCTGCGATACAAGGACATCTGCAAGCGGGATCTAAAGGCCTTAGGAATGGACCTCAACAGATGGGAAACCTTGACGTCTGAGCGTTCAGCCTGGAGGCAGGCGGTGCATCACGGCCTCTCCCAGTTTGAAGAGACCCTTGTCCAGCAGGCTGAGGCAAAGAGGCAGTCCCGAAACCAGCCAAACCAGGGAGCTGGACAGGGAACAGACTGTATCTGTCTTCCGTGTGGAAGGGATGGTCCCTTTCGAATTGGCCTCCTCAGCCACACTAGACGCTCCATACAGAGCACGTGACCATAGTCTCTTGAGACTGAAGGATGCCTAATCTAAAAAAATGCAATAAAAATATTCTTTCTGGGAAGCAAAAGAAAATATACATACCCTTCTTCTGTTAAATAATGTAATATCAGAATAAGGAGGTTTTTCCGACGAGCTTCCGTCCGCATTTCTTCCTGTGAATGAAAGGAGTTTTAGACTACTTTTATGAGGCAAATCGACGAGCTTCCATCCGCATTTCTTCCTGTGAATGAAAGGAGGAGTTTTAGACTACTTTTATGAGGCAAACGTTGCTGACTGAGGATTGTGAGCTTCCTAGGAACAAGGTCGTCCTGTAGCACACACAAACCTCTCTTATGAGACTCTCCAAAATACCATGTAGTCTGGTGGAGCTCTAGCTCATTTGCCAGTCAAGATTTTTCCAGGTGTATTTATAGCTATAAATTTCTAGCTTCAATCTAAATGTACCTGGAAACTGGCTACCCCTTCCTTCTGTCCAAGGATTCTGGGAGTAACTCAAAAGCCACCATATTTCAACTCCTAAAGAAGATGTGGCCATAGAGGAGATGACCAGCATGCTGTATGGTTTCGCATCTGTCGAGTTTCTTTCTAAAAGAATATTGTTTGAACAAAGAAGTCTCCCTTCAGCAGCGATCAGAGCCTTTTCCAGGAAAACATTATGTATGAGCATCGGGGCCATTAGCTGTTGCTGCTTTGGACTCCCGGAATTACCCAGGCGGAATTCTGGGAATTCCTTCCCATAGACGCACACCTGTATTTCACTCACCTGTAACAGGACCTATGCTCCAGTTTTCTGTACAAAAAGGAAACTGCCCCAGTGCTTCCCGGGGTGTGTGTGTGTCTTGGTCTTTTGAGATGTGTAGTCTGGCTGCTCACCTGACTCTCCAGAGGGCACATTTAAAAAGCTACACCTCCCACTGAATAAAAGAGGTTGCCTCTGTCTCAAAATGCTAAGATTGGGCTGCCCACCCGCACTCAAAACAACACTGAGCTTTGACGAATTCAGGATAAGGAAGAGCGAAAAGAATGCCAAATGTAAATCTACTTACAAGCATTTGCTTACCCTCTATGGTGTCCATTTTGTAAGCTATACAGAGGACATGAGCGCCAACCTCACACTCATTGTTATAACACAAGGCAGGCTGCAATCCTGCATATGGTTACCGGGGAGTAAGTCCTATTGAACTTACTCATTACTTCCAAGTAGGTATGTATTTATGTATTTGCACTGTGGGTGTAGGATTATAGTCATTAAGGTCTTTACAAAGCAAGTGTCCCCTCTTATTTCAGAGGGAGAATAATCTTTTTGAATAAGTAACTCATCAGTCCCTCAAATCTGATGTTTTCTAAGGCAATGGAGAGCCATCTAGCGGCCTAGGGAGGAAAGCTAGTGTTCATTTCTGCAAATTTTTGAAACAGAACAATTGTCTCGTACATTAAAATTAGTAATGCCACTGCTTGCCAACCTGTGCTCCAAGATTAGATGGCCCTGGAGATCCAGAAAAGCCTGACAGAGGCTGCCACCCCATTGTAGTGAGGAAAAGAGGCTAAATTGCACACTGTAATTAAGGACAGTAATGGAAATGCATTTCTTTGTAACTATGTACATGTTCCTTGTAACTTGTTACTTCCAAGTGCTGCCCTAGTCAGTATAGTCTACAATCCACTGATTTGTCTTTCTGATGGTCCACGGTATGTATAATAAGTAACTATGTACTTATTATCCTAGTCTTACCAAGTTTGCAAAAGACAGTCAGAAGACTGAATTGCTGGTCCAGGCTCCTTGCCAAAACAGCAGGAGTGGGTTTGTGCAGTTAAACAATGGCTTGTCATTTGAGCAATAGTCTTTCAAATACCAGGTCTAGAATTCTATGTGTATAGGCAAGTCAAGCAGGAAAAATAGCTGGTGGATGAGATTAAGTATCATGAGTGCACGGACAGTAGGAGCCAGTGATGCTGGTAGGATTTACAGTCCCAACATTATGTCAGCAAATGTCTAGTCAGCACGCTTACACAATATACTGCAATAATATCTAGTCCGCACATAGTGCAACATCAGGCTACAAATACAGATCAGGCTGACTAGCAATGAGTAGACTGCTAGGAGCCAGTGGACTCACCCACAGATGTGGCTGCCTGTTGCATCTCTGTAGGAGTCACTGCTCTGAGTTTCTGCTGGACAAGTTGTCCTGCTGCATCTCTCTGAAGACTCCCCACAGTATCTCTTACGGCTGCACTGGGATTGCCAGATTCTCCCTGCAGCATAGCCGAACCCCGATCATGGGGGGTGGGGGAGAGTGACTGGGTGCTGTGCGGTGAAAAGGAAAATCTGCTTCTGCAAGCCCATGCTCTATGGGCTTAAGACAGAAATCCTAACTAGCCAAGAAGCCAAAGTACTAAGTCCAAACTGCTTCCAGCCTTGAGATACTATTGGAAGTCATTGGCAACTGTGGCCATAGCTTAGTTTTGCGCTGGCACTGGGGCTATAGCTTTGGACATGGGAAAGTTTGCATCTGGCCTAATTCCTCCCCTCTCCTCCCTCCACCCATCCTTTCTGTGCCTCTTTTTCAGTTCTTTTGCCAGCAGATCCTAGACAATCTTCCAGCAGACTGCTCTACTTGCACACCTCTGAGATTAGCTGGCTGAAGGGCATTTTTTTTTGACAGAAGAAGCTCGTACCTGGGCCTAATTCTTGGCACATCTTTGGGCTAGGACTGCATTTCCTAGCTAAATCCAGCCCATGATTTCTTTCCCTTTCACTTCACCCCATTCCAAGCCCAAGACCACATTTATCCTTCTTCCTTACTGCAGGGCAATCCCATCCATGGGGCAAATATTCTCTATATTAGTGGCTTCAAACCCCTGAAGCCTTCACCACCAGTTGTGCTGGCTGGAGTAAGTCCAATACTGTACCTGGGTTACCTAAGGTTGGGAATCACTGCTCTATATGATCAAAACATACCACACACATCTGTATACAGAGTAAATTATGCAGGTAAGTCACAGCCATACTGATTTGCATGATATTTATATTTTATTGTGCACAATATTTAGATCCCTTTTTAAAACCAAAGTTAATGCAATCCTCCAAAATGTCAAGGACCCGTAGCTGCCATAGATGTGGTAGTCTGCGTATATGTGTAACAGAACAGGAGCACTTAAAGAACAAAACATTACTTAAAATTCAGTTTAGGTTTATAGTGATTTACGCTCGCTTCTTTAATTGGAATGTAGAACACCACCATCTATACAGCCATTGGTATTCCAATAGATGTTTAAGTGTTTAAAGTTTAATAAGCTCCCATTCCGAGAACAAAAAAAAATGGGTGTAATTAAATTTTCAATTACTATAAAGGGTTTTCGGTCCATACAATTAATAAAAGCTTAAGGCACTTAAACAGGAGCTAGTTTTAAATGCTAAAAGTGCTTTCCTAATTAGCTCCAATGCTTACAGAGCACATTACTCATTTCTTAAAATGCCACACATTGTTTTCTTTGCAGCTGCCAAAAGATGAATTAACACACAATCAAAATTTAATATTACAGTCAGATAAATCCTGAAGGCTTTTTTTCTCTCTCTTGAAAGATGCTGATGTTGCTTTGCTAGTTTTAATTGATCCCAAGCAAAGATAACCAGGCCTGTTTTGTTCTGCATGCACCATGGTCCGTGTACAATCTGGTGCATTCTCCCATCTTCAAAAAGCATGTGAGTTTTAGTTAATATCTAATTAGCAAGTCCAAATGAAAGCAAAATTTTGGAATGTCTTAGCCATACAACAATATTCTACTTCACCTAAAGGTTGCTTTTCTTTTACTTTCTTTTTTTAAAAAAAACTAAGAGTCCCAGTACCATCTGGGCATTTGTCACGGGATTTATCCACAACATGTGCGAGTTAGTGTTCCTTCTTTTTTCTTCTGCTCTTTTTACATATTGCATTCTTTCTAGCTCTCTGTTTTATCATCTACATTCGGGTTAACACAAGTGGACTAGTGAATAAACATCAATAGTGGTGACAGTGTTCAATCACATGAAAGCCTGGAGACTGCATACAAATTGACAGCATTGGTAGGAATTTGTACATTGCCAGTGAAGACAAGCAGACACCCTAAGAGATTTTGCTGCCTGAAAAAAAGGACAAGATTACACCCCTTACTTGGTGTGTACAGTTGTGCCCCGCTTTGCAATTACCCCGTTTAATGACGAATCTGCTTGATGGTGAGGTTTTTGCGATCGCTTTTGCAAAACGATGGTTTGAATGGGGATTTTCGCTTTACGACGATCAAAAACAGCTGATTGTCACATTTCAAAATGGCCACCGGCTGAAGAAAATGCCCCCCCGCTGTGCTTAGGGATGGATTCCTTGCTGCACAGGCACCGAAAATGGCCGCCCCTATGGAGGATCTTCGCTGGATGGTGAGTTTTCAGCCCATTGGAATGCATTGAACAGGTTTCAATGCATTTCAATGGGATTTTTTATTTCACTTTACGACGTTTTCGCTCTACAGCAATTTCGCTGGAACGAATTAACATCGTAAAGCTAGGCACCACTGTACACAAACTGATGCCAACTGGATCCTAGTTTATGGAACCTAAGATTGTGTATCTAGGATACACAATCGTGTCTTCCAACAGAAGAGCTAGAGTTCAAGAAGTGCAGCTGGAAGGTTGCCACTAATTTCTCCAAACACTTACTGCCTGAGGCCGTTGCCTCAATCTGCCTACGGATACTTACCGGAATATAGATGGCCAACATGCAAGACAAGATCGGGTCAGAGAGACCTCTGTTTGTGAAGTGGAAGGCAGATACACCAACCATCCAACAAAGACATAACTTCCTTAACTTTCTGCAGAGGTGGGCTTGGTCCAGCCTCACTTAAGAGTGATTTTCCTTTGATTGGGGAAGGTGAAAGAACACTTCCTGCACTGATTCATATGCTGGAAACTAAAAATTTTTTACTCACCAACTACACCTTGCAAAGAATCGATATACAGTGGTGCCTCACTAGACGATGATAATCCGTTCCACTGAAACTGCTGTTTAGCACAATCATTGTCTAGTGAAAAGCATTTCCCTATAGGAATGCATTGAAACATGTTTAATGCGTTCCAATGGGGAAGAATCGGCGTTGTCTAGCGAAGATCAGCCATAGGAAA